AGGTTGCCATTTCTTTCTGCGATAGACCAGTTGACATCCAAGGCAATAAAACCCGGCCTGTCCTGATTAGTATTCACAGGGAAATGATGGTCATTGACAAAGTAGAGGCTTATCTCTTGTTTCCTGTTTAGGATTGGGTTTCCGGTTCCGACCGAAGTCTACTCCTATTGTATACTTGAAACGTCTCTAAATCTTATTCACTAATTAAATATTGACCTCTTCAAGTCTAGAGTTAGCTATTATCATTCCTACATATCTGCAAAAACTTCACTTCTTGCCCTTTCTTACGCTAATACAACACCCAACACCATACAGTAATCCTCTACCTTGAGTGGCTCTCGATCCTTGTATTGAGTGAACATTAGTAAAGAAATATAAATAAAGAAATATTAGACTATATATATATATAGAGATAGATAGATAGATAGATAGATATACTGCCACTCGCAGCATTGGACAATTATTATCAAGAATATATCTCATGAATACTAAGTGTTTTAATGTAATAGTTTAGATGCAGAAATAGAACGCATCAGATACATACAACGAGAAGCTATTAAAGGGAGTAAAACAGTGGTCGTAAAATATTTTTGTTTCTTTTATAAACATTAAAAAATACAAAAAGAAAAGCTAAAACCAAGCAAGAAGAAGAAAGAACGAAAGAACGAAAGAAAGAAAGAAAGAAAGAAAGAAAGAAAAAAGAAAAAGCGAGGTAGTTTTCTTTATAAAAGCGCATCATATAAGTAATCATAAAATCTATCAAGCGACCCTTCTACCTTTAAGTATGCCCCTGGGGTTGCGCATACTCCAGACTTACAAGTTATGCATTATATGTGCGACCCTAATTTAATAGCTTTTTATTTTTGCCATTTGTGTTTCATTCGAAAGGAATGCAATGATGATGATATACACACTCATAGGTGTATACAACAGTTTAAATATATATGAAAGTACGTACACACACACACACACACACATATATATATATATATATATATATATATATATATATATGTATATATTGCAAAACTCTGAATTCTAAGCTCTTCTATGAATATATACAGATAATAATAACAATGGACTCTCCCGTCGGTTTCGACGTATGAGGATCTGACAGCTTATTTGATTCAGTTATGAAATTTTGTGCGATAATCTTAAGTGGCATTTAAGAACCGCTAGTGATTTACAAAGGATGCCACATATGGAGCAAGTGTGAGGATTGTGAGATGGGATCATAGTTAGATTGGATGACCTTTTAGATCTTGCTCTCGCTTCTTGATGATGATTCCGACAAGCTGATTGAAAATTACTGAGTCCACTAAAACACGTTGATCTCCACTCTACCCGCTCCAAGGCTAAGTATATATACTGCAAAGCTCTACTATGAACATATATATATATACTAGCAGCATGGCCCGGCGTTGCTCGTGCTTGATTCAAAAATCGTACGACTCATACAGCAATCGCTATCACTTGACTTAAAATATTTTTGCTCTTCCTTGCCTTTAAAGGAGTGCCCTTTGCCGTGCTGATGTTGCTACATGCCTTACTTCTTGTCTATTTCACATTGCGAATTTTTCTAAGCTCTATACTAAACATTAAATCTATTACGAAAAAAGAACTAAACAAAATGAACACAAAACGATCAGCTTTAAAAAAAAGGACTCGTAACTGGAAAAACAGAATGAAAAAAGAATGTTAACAACAAATACATTTTCAGAATCAACGTTGAGTTTAAGCAAACGAATGAGCCAATTGGAGTAAAGTGACATGGAGATTTAAATTTTTCCCACTTGTGACGAATGCAGCTATCAATTTTTTTTGCATGCTAGCATGCTAGTGAACATTTGTGTCAGTCAGCTGTTGGCTCTCACGCTGGCCAATAGAATCTTCCTGCTTATTCGTGGCAGCCAACTATAGGCACTCACTCTGGCCAGTACAAAATGGCCGCAAACTACATGAAAACTGCCGTAGATACATGAAAAAATCGATCATTTTCACTATCGATGGGAGTTGGGAAATGCAAAGTCGGTCTTGGCCTTCCCGCTAAATTGGAGCATGTGCATGTAAATTTTGGTGCAAATCCGTCAAAAATTGCGGCCGTGCATTCGTTATACATACATCCTGCTTATATATATATATATATATATATATATATATATACTGCAAGGCTTTTCTATGAATTGAGCCCTGTAGGTCATTGGCGCGTATATTCGAAATCTACCTATTTTAACATTAAAACGATGAGATCTAAATCTGGTAGTACGCTTAAATTCATGCAATCGAAGTACCAAGAAGGAAACCTCATTAGAACAATTGCGATGAAAATATTTGTAGAAAAGCCACAGTGAATATAACTGATTTTAGACTATATATACGATTTAAAATTGGGAAAGTGTTCGGTAATCTAGTTCGGGATATACTGCACACGATTATACACGTTCTCGGGCTTTTTTTTTTTAATTATTTCACCCCAAGCAAGGTAGTAAAGCCACTAAAAGCCAAAATTTACTGAGAGTGAAATAAGCTGAGAAACCCCTATTGAAATGAGTGAGTGAGTAAGTGAGAAAGAGAGAGAGAGAGAGAGAGAGGTGAAGAGAGAGAGGGAGACGGGGAAGGGCAATAAATGGCCAGGATTCAAGGAGACAGAAGACGACAATTGATGTTGCTTTTAAATTTTTGAAAATCGTAGCTGACAGGAAAGCAAGAAACCAGAAAGAAATTTCCACAAGTGGGAAGTGCGAGAGAAGAAACTATTATCATAGTGGTTACGGTTATATTTAGCCATTACCGCAGTAAAATTCTGAGACATAACTGCCAATCGAGTACCGTGCTTAAATTTCTGAAGTCGAGGTACCGATAAGGAAAGCTCATTAGGACAATTACCAATGGAATTATTTACAGAAATGCCACAGAGAAGCTACATTACGGCGGTGGTACGGTGACTAAAACCTAGATGCCAGGTCAGGACCGATGATATTGATGATGTTTCTTTGTTTTCTTTTACCAATTAATCCAATATAATCGTTCCACTTGATATCTGTTTGTAATATTTGTTTATGCTTGTCTTAAATGAAATGTCAGAAACTTACGCATATAATTCAAAAGACTTTTATCGTGGTATAAACGTTTATACGCTTTTATATTCGCGAAATAATTACCTATTTGCAAGTCAGTAAGTACTGAAATATAAGGTTTCGTCTTATATTACATAGTTCAAAATACTTATGTACGTCTAAAACCTATACGAAGGCATAAAAGTTTATAGTTTTTATGTATGGAGCATAATTATCTTCTAAGTAAGTAAGTATTTGAAATTTTTATAAATGTTTTGTATGATTGTATGATTGCATGCCAATGTTGCACATTTGACCTCCTGTAGTATAGTATTTCTCTAATTCCAAGATATATTAATGAATGTTTGTTTGTTATGACGTTTTAATATGTTCAGTATACCAAAGAGAGACGTTGTTGCATGGTAGCGCATTGATGCTATTTGATGGGGGGTATCTAAAATGCAGAAATCAAAAACAGTCTTATTCTCTCACTCTCTCTTCCTCATCTTTCTTTCTCTTTCTCTCTCTCTCTACCTCATTTTGTTCATATTCTTACGACTTAATCGCTGTCAAACTTGGTTATCCGCGCCAATCCTGTTTGCACGCATGCGTATATATGGCCATTCAAAAAGTAAACATCGTTTTTTGTTTTTTTTTGTTCCATTATTTGCTTAACACTTGGCTTAACTTGTAATCATGAAGGTTCTAGAGATTTGTGACATATTTTTTTAATCGGTCTCACTCGATGCAAGGTAGTAAAGCCACTAAGTCACAAGGGGTTACAGGGTGTGGAAAAATTAGGAACATAAACATCAATAATGAGTGGGAAGAGGAAAGTCTAAGTCGATAACGATTGACATTGCATTTAAGCTTTTTGAAGATTAAAATTGATTTGAAAGCATGAAGTTTCACAAGCGAGAAAATAAACTGTTCGCATAGAATTTATGGTTACATCTAGCCAGCTCAACTGATGACTTCTCGACGCCATTCTAGCACTAAATTCAAAAAGTCTACCATAGCAAATAGCTCATGCGCACAATTACCAAGAAAGTATTTGTAAAAAAAGACATAGAGAAGCAAACTTACAGCGGGTGGCCAGATCAGGACTAATAATATAGCAGATTCTTTATCAATGAGATCAAGGTAAATAGCAGGGACATTGGACCATATGTGGCAGTAATGTTCTAAGGATGGACGAATGGTAGACTTATAGATATGTAGGAAAGATTCTGGATAGAAAAATTGTCTCGCACGACACAGTGAAGCAACTTACTTAGATGCTGACTTAGCAATGGGTTCAATATCTGTTTTTGATTTCTGCATTTTATATACCACCCCTTATCTGTCTCAGTCTGTTCATATCAATAGATCACCGTGTTCCCAATGAGGATCGAACTGATTACTCAGTCGAAATGATCACGTAGACTAACACGCAGACAAATAACATCACACAGCCTTCTTTTGGATTTTGTCAAGAATTTCGAGATATATCGTAGGAGCACCAGACCCGATATGGCAGCAATATTCCATGCACGGACGGATGGTAGATTTATAAAAGTGCAAGAAGGATTCTGGCGAGAGAAATTGTCTGGTATGAAACAACGATCCAATTTTTCTAGCAGTAGCACATATAAATTATTCAATAGAATCATTCCACTTCAGGCCAGTGGAAAACGTGAGCCCATGAAGGCGCAAAGACAATATAAACGTTATCTAACACTTCCATAGACAGATAGACAGACAATTAAGAAAGCGCATCACAAAGATGTGTATGATAGTCATGGTAGATCAGTGAACAGTAAGGGATAAATTTTAACAACCGGGAAGAGAGATGAGTTTGTTAGCTCGGAGGTTAGCATTAGCCATACTGATAGAAATCAAAAAAAATTTTTATTTAAGATAACTAAAGGACAACAGTTTCGTTTTGGAGGAGTTCAAATTTATATGTTTACACTATCTATCTATCTATCTATCTATCTATCTATCTATCTATCTATCTATCTATCTCAGTCTGTTCATATCAATAGATCACCGTGTACCCAATGAGGATCGAACTAATTACTCAGTCGAAATGATCAAATAGACTAAAACGCTGACATAAACAACATGCCGAAACGCCACAGAACAATCGTAGTAATATATATATATATATATTTATATATATATATATATATTCTTTATTTGATAATCTAGAAAGTCTACACAAATGTGTGCACCTTGAATTTACTATGCATTCAATCAAAACCCTTTCACACAAATCAATATACGCAAAATTTTTACTTTTATATATACGCATATATATATATATATATATATATATATATATATATATATATATATATATATATATATATATATATATATATGTATATAAATAAAAATATGGTTGAAACATGTTTGGAACTTGTAGCGAAAATAACCATATTTAAATCAATTATATATATATATATATATATATATATATATATATATATATAGATAGATAGATAGATAGATAGATAGATAGATAGATATATATATATATATAGATAGATAGATATAGATATAGATTCTTTATATAAATTTTAACAACCGGGAAGAAAGAATCATTAAATCGCTTCTAAGTATTCAACTACGCTCAAGAAATTAATTTCAGATTATTTCATCTTTTCCTGCGATTTCATATATAAGAGATACATATTATTCTTTAATTTTAGATTTTCTTAGTTGGTTATTTCTCTCAGTGTCTGTACCTCCATATTTAATAAAACCTTCGGTTTCCCCCGACTGAATTGAATATCAAAAAACAAAAACAAAAAAAAAAAAAAAGAAAATACCCTAGACTCAATTCATATTATTTGATATTCTTATTCAACGAATGTTTGACAACTGAATACTGATTTCCTTACATATTCTGGTGAAAATCTCCTGTTTTTGCTTTATTTGCCAGCGGGAATAAACGATTGTATATGGTGAATTTTAAAACCGCCCTCCTGTCATTTCCTGCCAGGATCTTAAGCACTGGTTGACACGACTCCGAATTGCCGTCTGGCGTAACTCACGAACGGCGTATCGGGATACCGAACATGCAATGCATATTGTAGTATAATTGGTGCTTACTGACTAAGGGATGTTTTGGAGTGTGTCATCATATAACTGCACCCCTATGTACACATGTACATAGAATAAGAAGTTGGTATCCCCACAAACAAAATTATCTCAACATCCCTAGCATTGTTCACTTGAACACACGCACGTAGAGGATGGGTGACGTTCATCATACGATCAGTTATTGCCACAGGACATTGCTATTTAACTTGCTTATAATTAGGATTATGGTTACGTGGCCGAGTGTTTAGAAAGTTCGCATGAGACCCGAATTCGAATCTCACCATGGTCGATTTGTCAGGAAGGAGACTTTCTGATGTTATCGGACTGGAGGGGTCGGTTCCAGCGTGTGGAACCTTTGGGAAGTGCCTGAAAATCATACCATGGCTTGACCCAAGCCTTGTAAGTGAAACTGGGTAGACGGAACCCGCCGATTGCTGTGCTAGCACGAAGTCACAGGTTATCGTGCGCGAGAGCTTGAGCGGGCTGGCCTTGTTCAAATTTTTGATCACGCTAGATAACATGCTCTTTCCCAGAAACTGTAACTAAGGTCTGCTCGGTATAGCTGAAGTATAAACCACAGGTGAGCTGCGTGTTGACTGAACAAAAATGTGTCTGAGCAAGCGTCTGCAATAGGGATTGGCCAGTAGACGGGTATCCTCGAACACGAGTGGCTAGCTCTCTCTCCCTCTCTCTCTCTCTCTCTCTCTCTCTCTCTATATATATATATATATATATATATATATATATATATAAACAGACCACTTTTAAGGTACCATTATGATAATTTATTTCACCAGAGCCCTTTTAAAGGACGCCGGATCATCAGATAGCACTTCCAAAAATGAAATGAAACGAAAAATCTGTTTTTCTTTAAAATATTAGCTCTGGATTTACTCTGAGCTCTCAGGATTTCATCCTCCTTGGGATTACCCATACAGATTACCAAGTTCTTCATAACTTAACTATATATATATATATATATATATATATATATATATATATATATATATATATATATAATTAGGACCGCGACTATTGTGAAACTCTACTCCACTTCACTAAACTTAGTAAATATCTATAAGAAGAAACTGTCTCATATTTCAATACATGTTCGTTCTATAAACATTAGAATTTTGAGTTCGACTCTCAATGGATGTTCCACTATTTTTTACTTTGTTCCAAATTTGTCAAAATATTTTATCGCATTCAGTGCTAATAATAATAAATAATTGTGGGACGATAAAAACTACTTCATTGTAGGATTTTACAAACAGATAGTTTGCGGCACAATTGGACAAGCTGAAAAAATTAACAAGCAATTTTTTTTTCTTTTTTTTTTCATTTTGTTCGAATCTAGTTAAGAAAATAGAAAATATTCACGAGTAGATATCCAGACAAATAAAGTTATAGATGGATAAATTAAAAAGGAAAAGTTTATTTTACCGGTCCCGGTAAAATAGACAAACATGCTTTTAAGCTTATTTTACCGGTCTCGGTAAAATAGGCAATTGGCTATTTTACCGGTAAATATATATATTTTTAAATTATTATGAAGGCAGGTAAGGCTAAAAATAACAACGCATAGATTTATTTAATTTCATAGTTTATTTATTTCCCCATTAATTGTTAAAACAATTAAAAATCATTTCTACCATCATTTGTTAAAACAATTAAAATTTTTTTCCGCCATCAATTGTTAAAACAATTCATAATCATTTCCACCATCCATTGTTAAAACAATTTAAAATCTTTTCCACCATCAATTGTTAAAACAATTTAAAATCTTTTCCACCATCAATTGTTAAAACAATTTAAAATCTTTTCCACCATCAATTGTTAAAACAATTTAAAATCTTTTCCGCCATAAATTGTTAAAACAATTAAAAATCTTTTCCCCTATCCATTGTTAAAATAATTAAAAATCTTTTCCGCCATCAATTGTTAAAACAATTCTAAATCTTTTTCACCATCAAAATTGTTAAAACACAAGTTAAAATCATTTATTCGGCATCAATTATTAAAAGAAATATAGAAGTCTCTGAATATTTTAAACATTTTAAGCATAAGAATCTCTGCAAATCTAAAACTTTGCCCTTGGGTATAGTTCTTTCGCCAATACACTTCAGGTGCATCCACTGAAGACAACAGTTACAGATCCCAGAGTCCATGTTGTTCAAGTCCTGCCTACACAGCTCACACAACCACTGCGTTGACAGTCTTTATTACTGACAAAGTAGCCAAGTATATATAGATCCCTGTCACTGGATGAGTTCTTAATGAAGATATTCATTAACCGCCCCAACCGGTCGGATGTGGCACAGGGCCGAGTTTATTGTGGGGTATCCGAGCCCGTATGCTCGGGCAAAAATTCCTCGTAGACCCCGTAAAAAACGGGGTCGGGTAGCTGTCTACCACCACAAACGAGACTCTGCCGTTTGGCATAGCCACGTTTGGGTCCCTCTCTACATAGAGAGTTTGACAAGCACACTTGGTATTGAATCGCAAGCGAAAGACATGAGTTCTTAATGAATGAAGTTCTTAGTTCTAAAATATTATTTCTACCTACCGGCAGAATAGCCTTGGTATCTATTTTACCAAGCCCGGCAAAAGAGTCTATGCGAACAAAAAAAATGTAATTCGAATTTATTCACAATATGGAAATAACCGGATAGCCACAGGAGACCATGTTTAAGGGCAGGAAAATGACTATATTTGTTAATAGGAGAAAACCTTTGTCTTCTGCAAATGAGATATGATTGAGAACCCGAATAGGGCAAGAATAGATTCGGATTATATTAAAATTACAAATAAATAGATTCGGGTCTACCAAAAAAAAAAAAAAGTCCACAATTAAAAATATAGCAATAAGGATTCATGATCAATATGTTTTCGTCTTAAAGCCTAATATAATGTTCGTCGCTCGATATTTCAAGTAGTTGTTGTCCGCATTATAAGGGGACCTTCGTCGTGTGATTTTGTCATTCCCATCTCTGTCTCGAGCGCAAAGAAAACCTAAACAACTTTATCCACGTTCCTCGCCCATTCCGCTTGCCGGCTTGATAAGAATAGACCAGCGTGAAGGAATACAAACCATCGGAATAAATCAGAATAAATGTCACTTGACATTGTTTCTCTTCTTTCTTTCTTTTTTTCCTTTTTTGTGCTTTTCTGTAACCATTGATCCTAAAAAACAATTGAACAGATGGGATCAGACGAAAGTATCGAAATCAGTTATATGTGAAGTTAACATCCCCATCGTGCCGTCAACTGTAGGCCGCCTACGTTAGTGATGGATAGTCGTCTTAGTGAGTTAGAGGAGCCGACAACTTTCTCCAAATGTCAGCTGGCCTACACCGATTTGTATATATTGATTTCGATACTAAATAATTCCATATATTGATGACTCTAGTACAAAGTAACAGTTTTGAGGCGTCTAATATACATACACTCTCACAACACGCATTCCCATACACACACACACGCACACCATGTGTCTGTGTGTGTGTGTGTGTGTATATATATATATATAGAGAGAGAGAACGATGGACACTGTGGGTATATGAATAAACGCAACGTTGTGCTGAATATCGTGAAGATTGTTTTCATGATAGAAACTATCATTATAGTGATTTTCCAAGATGTGGCACAAGGCCGAAAGTATGTGGTACCCAGTGAGGATCGAACTTACTATTCAGTCGTAACTGTTTTAGCGAGACAAGCTTGCTAACCATTACACCACGCCGAGGTGTCCTTGAAACTGCCATTATATAGTGTTGAATTCTACGTCTACACCGTCGATGTCTACAGAAAGCTCTATCTCCGATACAGAGCATTTTTCTCACATAAATAAATAA